AATTTCTTTGTAGCCAGAAGGACTAGTATACTGAGAAATTTACTCATCCTGCCAAACCTTTACTAGTCCTGTCCAGAAAAGAATATCACACACTTGTATTGAGATTAACAATATTATTCGTAAGTAGCATTATCATATGAAACGCAGAATTACAGAATTATAAATCAAATCCTGCTTCAAATCATCAATCGGTCAATTCACATTTCTTATTTCTCAAGATAATTTGGATACAATTCCAGAAAGGGATCCATGTGTCATTTCTCATCCTCCACCTACCCTCTGGGTCCAATTGGGGTTTGTTCAGGTCTCCTTACCGGATTCCCCGAAACATTCCACAAATGTATTGCTGGTGATGGATTATTTGTTGGAATATTATTTGTATGGAACATTATAAAGAGTAAATCAGACAGAACCCAAGGTCACAAACATGATCTCCAGTCACTCTTCACCATTTTCAAATCTGAAAAACCCTTCTCAGCATCAGCAGAGTGGGCTGGGGTTGTTAGGATAAGGTCAATCAATGCCAGAATATTCTTGCAGTCAGCAGCACATCATTTTACAACTGTGGACCAAGCCAAAGTATAGATGTCTTTGTAATTGCAGGATAATGGAATACATTAAGAAAACATTAATCTGAATAAAATTACATCCAGAAAAATGTAATGTCAATACTTAAATAATGTTTATATTAAATTGTTTTTAAAAGCTTTCTTTAAATGGCTACCTTTTACAATCAATATACTATGCTAAATAAAGAAATTTTATCAAATCTGGCATCAATGATGTTTCTTGTCTTTATTTTTAAATATTTGAATATATTCCTACTTGCTGTAGACTAAACTCTTTAATATGTCAAATTCCAATTCCACTACATCAGCATCCACACCTGCTCTGACAAGCACTGACCGGAAATGCTCCACCAAAACAAATATCTGCCTTTAACTTCCAGTGATGTAATATGTAAATGTAACATGTCTATCAATCCTGTAAGTCTCTCCAACATCAACTCATTTCATCTCATCCAGCTAACACATCCATGCAAAATTAGTGAAGTTTCTTTGGTTTTTTACCAAACCTCTTTTCAGCAGTTGTCACCTGAGTGCAATGTTGTCCCAACAGCCAAAATTTTCGAAATTTGCACATTTCGGAACCTGTAACTTCAGTTTGGTGCAACACAGAAAAGTCAATTATGGCTTGATAAATAAAAAAAATATTTCAGGAGTAAAACAAGCTAAAGCATATGGTCATATGCCTTTAACAACGGAAATAGAAGGAAATCGAGGGTCATGGGTCAAACGAAGCATTTGGAAATTACTGACCTTGTCTCTTATAAAGTAGGATAGACAGTGGCATATGTCAGAATGGGTAATCTGAGATACTTTTGTTACTATGTATGATTGTCTTCCTTCAGATTATAAGTTGTTTTTTTTTTTGGTCAGCATCAAGCTTGCATCGAGCACCAATGGTCAAACACATTCCGTTTAAACTTTCCAAGATCTTACCAGCGATTTTTTGTGTTGCCCAAGCTTTCATGCATGTTTACTGATTCAATTTTAGTCCGAGCCACCCGCAACAAAACTGGATATTTTCTCAGTTTTTTTTTCTTTTTGCGAATTTTGTACACCAGTTATACAGCATAACATTCTTTTCTTCATCATAATTCAACCATTCACTGTCTTTTGTCGATGTCTTCTGAAACGTTCAATTACACTTTTCCTATGATAATTGTTCCTCTATTTAAAGTGATTTTCATTCAACTTTTACTTTTTCCGGTGGCTGAACACCTTCTACAAAATACCACATATTGCCTATCATTATAAGGAGTAAATTGTATCTTGTTTTGAACTATGAGATGTTACAGTATAGCTGATGCAAATTATTTAAAGTAAGAAAAGGAATTTCACAGCATCCTTTATAAAAGAAAGTCAGAGCAAGAAACACCATTTCAAAACACGTGCCTTTGCCCTCCTTCCCCATTAAATGGCTTTTCCCTGATAAATACTTGACTTCAGTGGTTATTCTGCATGACAAAAGCAGTGGCTATTGTTAAACACTGTTATAAAATATTTGCATTAGAAGATAATGTTAGTTTCAACTTAGAAAAGGTGTATTCCCGTCTGACTCGGCATGTTCTATATAACAGTTCCAATTACGATCTCATTATTAATAGCGAAATTTTGGTAATTGTTCCTAATTAATGGGACCTCAGTTTATTGTTGAAATATTAAAAAAGTGGAACATTTTTAAATCTTTCATGCTCATGCTCAGAGATTTTAATTCCCAACAAATTTACAGTATTCTGCTTGATATCTCTACGTGTATTCAATTATATGTTCATTCTTCTAAGGAAAAAAATTTAAATTCTATTATCATCATATAAAAAGTAGTTATATGGAAAGATGTGTCAATAATGTTGATGTAGTAAATTGGTCTAATTTTTATAATTATTTTGATGCAAAGGTAAAATATATATATTCCCATTTGTGAATGTTAGAGTGTTTAGTTAGCGAGCAACCCCCCCAACCCTTAAACAAACATGGAAACTTTATTTCTTTGAATAGCTTTTGCGGTGTAATTTTGTGTGGTATATCGTTTTGTAGTTTATTACTGTGGTCAAGTGAATTAAGTGTGATACCACATCATTTTTCATTTAATTCATTATATGATTAATTAGGATGAATTACCCAACTTCTGTTGATAATGACGGTACCACAGTTTGCGCTGTTAAGCGAAATGCACAAATTGGATGGTTTCTTGTTATATAGTCCGAGTTTCCTCTGACCCTTGACACCCCATTTTTGATATTTAGAATTTTAACATAAAAAACCAAATATCAAAAATGGGGTGTCAAGGGTCAGATGAAACTTGTTATAGAAACACAACTTTTCTGGCAGCCAGTATAATTGCTTAAGAAAAAACCCTGGAAAAACCCAAGAAGAACCACCGACCCATGAGAAGATACTGGTAAGCTTTCTCACATACCCACGTTAGCTGAGCCTAAGACTCAAACCCATGCCAACAGAGGTGAGATGGGAGCAATCCGGAACAGTGAGTGCTTTAGACCACTCAGCCACTTAGAGCGCATGACAAATAATGTAACCCCATGATTGGGATATCCTTTTCTTGGTACAAACATCGACAGATTATTTTTTCACCCAATTTTTTCCAATTAAAATAATCCTGCTTTTTGCAATTTAGTTAGCTGATTCAACACATACAGTATTAATCACCTATTACTAATGCCCCTCACTTTACATAATGGTCATCAGGTCTTATACTCGAGAAAAATGTTATAATTGTTATGTGATGGAAGCATTGCACAAAGAGTATATAAAACCATGTGCTATTGTTTTCTAAATAGCGTGCATTAATATGTTAATGATGGCAATGGTGTGACCAGTTGACCCTAAGTACACAAGTTCTATGTGTCAGAAAAAATACAAAAACATTTTATATTATTATTGTATTATCACATTTAATCGATAGATATCCTATGAAAATAACAATAAGTAGCATTTAACTTTCATCACTTATAATTTGGAAAAAATCCTATGATAAGCAATGGTATGATACAGTACAAGACTTAAACATTCTTGGACAGAGATAAGATATCAATGATGAGTAAAGGTGATTGTCTTAGACTACACTACCACAAGAGCCTATCGCTTCCAAGGTGGTTGCTTAAAACTAATTTGGATGTACAATTATGTAGTCTAATTTTAAAGATGTCAAAAAGCCAAACATAAAGATGAACAGACAATGTGACTAAAAGTAATAAGAAACTTATATCCAGCCCTTGTGCAAATTTACCAATGATACAAGAAAAAGTCAGTAAGACTTACCTTTAGCAACACTTTCTAAAAACTCCAAGTACTTTTTATAATTTCTGAGAAAAGATTCTTCATATTCCTGAAGAATTTTTGTTTCCTTTTTCATCTGGAAAAATAAAACCTCAGTTCAATAAAATTTATTTTACTACAAATCAAACAAATATAAATAGGTACAAAAGCTTTAGAGCAATGTAGTTCCTCAAAAAGATCACCTATTGAGGTACACAATTATAAGCAAGTGAAAGGAATTATCAACATATTTCCTTGGAAAATATTTTCCATATTAACATTTTAAACAGTCAAGAGAAAAGTTTAATTTTAAGCAGTAGTTCAACATAATAATATCCATAATTTTTCAAAATTATTTTATAAAGTTTAATGCCATGATAGGCTACATATGGCAGCCAGAATATTGAGTAATGGAAGAAGTAGCAAAGACCCTGGGAAGAACCACCAACCCATGAGAAAGCTACATTGGTTAATGCAAATGAAATAAGGCATTTTACTTGCAATAAAATATTCGCCATAGATTTAAACACAGAGTGGAGGACTGTTGGAAAATAGATTAAGAATTAAATGCTTGTTGTTCCAACCTGATGGTCTTAAAACAGTAACAGACTGAGAAATAACAAGCACTGTAACAATCAATAAATAATTTATTACCCAAGAATACAAAGTGTAAATTTAAGAATGCTCTGTATGATACCCAAAATAAATTCTGATAATGAATGTACTGATGTGCACGTAGTCTCAAATGTGCAAATTTGCTAATTGCCTTGAATATGTTTTTGATGTGTTAACAGTCATTTGATGTTCCACAATAATATAACCCAAAATGTCCTTGTCTGAATTCACTATAATTCCAAATTTGTTTTAGTCCAAGAATATTATTGAGAACTTTGTAATTCCAATAAATAATTTGAATGAATAAAATCAACCCCAAAATAAAAACTGAACACAACAATAAGACTGATTCTGCTTCATATGTTAAGGCAATAAGTAATTTTTCAAGTGAACAACATGATATGAAAAACCAAGTAACAATAAAACATCCAGGATAGATACCAGTTTCCTTTACAAACCATTCCAGGCCGACCAGTCCTAACACAAACCTCTTAATGCTGTGTGCCAAGCGAGAATGCTGTTAGTACCATTTTTTAAGTCTTTGGAATGATACGGCCAGGGTTTGAACCCTCGACATACTGCATCCGAGGCAGATGCTCTAACCACTAGGCCACTGGAGCCGTTGTTGTTGTTGTTGTTGTTGGGCTTAATGCCATTTTTCAGCACACGATAGGCTATTCATGGCGGCCAGTATTAATGGTGGAGGAAAAAAACCGTAAAATCACCCAAAAGAACCACCGACCCACGAGAAGCTACTGGCAAGCTTTCTCACATATCTACATTTGTTCGCGAATCCTAGACTCGAACCCACGCAGACAGAGGTGAGATGGCAGTGATCCGTAACGGACAGCGCTTTAGACCACTCGGCCACTCAGGGCTCCCACTGGAGCAGTCCCCATATAATTAAGGTAAAAAGACAAGAAACAACACAAGCTGAAAAATACATGGCAATATTTTCGCCCCTCTCTACCAATTGAATTTTGTAATATATATAACTAAGAATTTAATTCTAGACCAGTAATGATATTGTAGCCACATCTGGCTACCTGCCTTTAAGATCTTTTAACAAATTAGTTGAGTTTCTCATACCTTTTGTTCATTATTTTCAAAATTATGTTGATAACTAGTACAATCAGTACTGATTTTGATAAATAACACAATGGGTGCTGGTCTTGATAAATAATAGAATGGGTGCTGGTCTTGATAAATAATAGAATGGGTGCTGGTCTTGATAAATAATAGAATGGGTACTGGTCTTGATAAATAATAGAATGGGTACTGGTCTTGATAAATAATAGAATGGGTACTGGTCTTGATAAATAATAGAATAGGTACAGGTTTTGATAAATAACACAATGGGTACTGGTCTTGATAAATAATAGAATGGGTACTGGTCTTGATAAATAATAGAATGGGTGCTGGTCTTGATAAATAATAGAATGGGTACTGGTCTTGATAAATAATAGAATGGGTGCTGGTCTTGATAAATAACACAATGGTTACTGGTCTTGAAATTATCAATCATGCTCTCCACTGTGTTTAATGCAGGTGGAAGCATGAGATAGAGGAAACTCATGCAAGCACTGGATGATGACAGAATCATTAGCAGCATGGATTAAATGTAGGGTTTAAAGTTTAAATCAAGATCTTAACCAATGGTATGCACAAGGCCTGGCATGAAACTGTACCTTCTGCTGTTTTTCCTGGTCTGTAAGCAACCTAATTTTGTAACCAGGGACAATGTCTTTAAATATTTCCATCAATGACACCATCACTAATTTGCGTACTGTCACATATACATCTGGATCGCTCTCCTCCAACATGCCAATCAGTTCCTTTAACTTCTTTGTCTGCAAAAAATAAATAAATAAAACTAAATAAATAAAACTAAATAAACAGATGGAAAAATAAATACATAAATGAATAAAAATAGAAAGAAACTCCAATTCTTCACAGAGACATTCAAACAACACTGTTACTTTAGCTGAATCAATCAGAACTGGTAAACACTAAACACTAAGTAATAAGTCACTATGACAGTCTTGGTGTGCACATCCTTAAGATGAAATCATTTTGTAACTTTAATATTAATAGGTAAAAAGGCATTTGCATTAAAGTCTGGTTAATATTGAGAAATCCACAGAAAGAAAACCACAATCTTTATGCCAAGATGCACCCACACTGCAAGTTTATTCTCAATATTTATGTTTAAATAATGTGATTTTAATTTTAACATAGCTTTAAAAATATTTCAGTCATCTCACTATGATGCATGCAGTGTGGCTAATGTAGTGATGTCTAGCACAAGGGCATCATGCAGAAGAGGGGCCCCGAGTGGCCGAGTGGTCTAAAGCGCTGTCCGTTACGGATCCATGCAATCTCACCTCTATCTGTGTGGGTTCGAGTCTAGGATTCGGCAAATGTGGATATGTGAGAAAGCTTGCCAGTAGCTTCTCGTGGGTCGGTGGTTCTTTCCGGTGATTTCCCGATTTCTTCCTCCACCATTAATACTGGCCGCAATGAATAGCCTATTATGTGCTGAAAAATGGTGTTAAGCCCAACAACAACAACAACATCATGCAGAAGACATGTCCCACCCAGTCCCATTATCCTGACACCCAGATAACTAGTCCTAACAGGAGCCTCTTAATGCTGAGTGTCAAATGAGGCAGCTGCAAGTACAATTTTTATAAGTCTTTGGTATGACTCAGCCAGGGTTTGAACCTGAAATCACCCACATCCAAAGTAGACACTCTAACTGCTTAGGAAACTGGTGGAAGTTGAAATAAGCATTACAACTAAGATGCAATGATCAAAGGCAAAGGAATGAATGCTGCACATTGTCAGTTTTGAGACAATATGTAGCTGTTTAACAGAGTTGTTAACCAAGTTCAAAACTGATTGTGTGTACAGTGATACAAAACAGTATCACTAAGGAATTTCTGTTCATACTCTGTTTTGTAAAGACATCTAATTTAACAATGCTCCAGGTTGTTTGACACCTGCATGCTATCACTAGTGGGTCAAAATTTATAATATACTTGGGAATAGTGTGAATTCCAAGATTTTCAAACACATTAAGTATTCTCACTGAACATTTTCATCAAATAAAATGGGCGGGGGTGGGATACAAGAATACATAAGTGGCCCAGTTTTTGTACAAGATCAGCATCAATCAAATGATCCTTTGCACTATGTTTGAACAAACATTTGTTGAAGTTGACTACTCCCAATCTCAACAGAAAGAAAACAATAATACTTTACATTCTTTTGTTCCATAAAGAAGGGGTTTATTATGCAAATTATCTGATTTGTGCACAGATAGGATCTATTTAAGAAGTTGGCAGGTGGTTGGCCTGGTGTGAAGATAATGTGACTGGGTGGGACATCACGCATCATGTCACATGTCTTTGACATGATGCATCACTGTTAGACATCACTATAAACTGCCACACTGCAGACATTGTAGCAATGCGACTGAAAAATCTTGAACAAAGTCTTAAAGGGAATTTTATTATTAGATTTTAGGCAGATCATTTACCACCTAAAATATATTCCCAAACATACTGGACCTGGTTTAATATCCATCTGTATTATTTACAACTCTATAAGTTTTGTAAAATTCAATAACTTAATTCTCAAAGTCATGAAATGAAAATTTAAGATGAACTTATTGTGTATATATCCAAAATAATCCTAAAAGTTCTATCACAAGTCCAAAAGTATAGTAATCTGAATGAATTCTAATCCTGTATGAGTTGATATACCAAGTCTTGAATAGTTATGTACCAACAGTCTTGATGTATCACAATGACCCTACATATCCTTGAATGAATTCACAATAATCCCAAAATAGTGATTTTTGACTATGAACACTTTGTAAATCCAATAAATATTTTGAAATAACTCCTCTCAAGCTATATATGAACATAATTAAAAGTGATTCCACAAGACTGATATTAAAATAGGAATAAATAATTTTGTTGATCACAGCGGATATAAAAAACTAAGACACAATAAAATTACTAGATTTAGGTCACTTTCCTCTCACATTTATAAACAAGTTCTCTTTCTAGAACCTTCTGAGGTCAAAAGGTCATGTAAACATGTTTAAAAATATTATCTTAAAGTTCAACCCACAAACATGGACAGACCACTCAAGTGGCCTAGTGGTTAGAGCATCCACCTCAAATGCAGGTTCAAACCTAGTGTTTCTATTTACGCACATTTGTGTGTCATGGATGCTCACTGGAGAAAATTGATGCACAATTTTCTGCAGTGCGTTTTTCTTATGCAAAGGATTTGCAAAATGCAATCAGGATTTATTTAATATCCAATGCATCATATTAGGGATGGCATCATGTATACTTCAATCATAGGCATAGTCTGGTTTCCTGTTCTGTATGCTCCCTATGTTGCACTCTGCTATACAGTGGACACGAAGCAGAGAACCAGACTAACATAGGCAATGTTATGACAGAGTAGCTACCCCATATCTAGCGAGCTCTCACGTCGCGATTCCATCAAGCTCAGCTTAGATGTCATACAGATGTTTGACAATGCTTGTTACACTAAAATGTGATCTCCAGATTAAAACGGCTTCCACTAAGAATCATTAGCGAAGAAAGTGAAAGAAGCAGAACATGAAAGAGTAACTGGATCTGACTATAATGAAAAATGGAGAAAATAATTCCATTGACTGAAATATAGCACATCCATTGGGATTACTGGTATGACTTCTAATCTCACGATTGGGAAGACTGCACAAGTGAATAATCCTTTAAGAATTTTTAAAACATCTGCCATCGATCACCAAAAGATATATTTTGTACACATTATTACCTAAGACATTCTTCAGAACAAAGAAATAAGTAAACTTGCAGAGACAAAGCCGTTATTTGAATCACAAATTCAGGGGATCATTGGAAATTTTGTTAACTTTGCTGCAAAGAAAGAAAGATCTAAAGGTTCAAGTTTAATCATCAGCCAATTTAGAGTCTTGGATTAATGTGTTTTAGGATGAAGTACAATGAAACTCATGATAGTATGCATTTTATGACAGGCAGTAAATTAACTGTCATTTGGTTAAAATGATTTATTTGGATTTTTGAATTGGCTTATATGTGATGTGTTGGTCTATAATAAAAGAGACTGTTAAAAGCATGACTTTAAACTAAAAGGAAAATGAACTAATAATTATCCTTTGAATGGACAATGCATTTGTGTGTTAATTGGTTTTGTTTATTTTAGAGAGATAATGTTGTGCAAGTTGCAATATCCTATTTCAGCTGAAACTGCTGAAACTGTATGAATCAGATGAAAATTTGTCATCTCATTTTTGACCCCCACATTTTTTATTTGACCCCCGGTTCTGTTACCAAGAGGTATTTTTTTACCCTCAGTTTTACACCCCTGGGGATACATTGAAACCCCTGCCGAGTTACACAAAAGACTTATAGAAATGGTACTAACAGCTGCCTAGCTAGGCCCTTGGCATTAAGAGGCTCAGAAAAGAGATTCAAATCCAATGAAAAAAATCGCTACAAAAAATATAATGAAACAAAAATACAATAAAAAAAGAACTTAAAACATAGAAGCAATTTAATTACATATTCGTA